AACGCTTTCGGGGACCGGCTTGAAGCTCTTGGACGTGGGCGGCTGGCAGGTCGTTGTCACCGACGGGCCCCCGGTGCTGCCCGAAGGCATGACGCACCGCCGGGGCCGGGGGTTCCGCAACCGCCACTCTCTCGTCTTGGTCGCCTTTCCGGGCAGCCTTGTCTCGATCGGCACTGGCGCCTTCGAGGGGTGCTCCTCGCTCTCCTCCATTGGACTCCCCCCCAATCTCGTCGCGGGGGGGGGGGTGAGACGAGCGCGAGGCATGGGTGACGGCACGATAAATTCCTTGTAGAGCGCGGGGCAGGATGCGACAAACGGCGAGCACGCGAAGCTGAGCTTGTAGTCGTCGGTGATGAGCGCCGGCAGGTTGTCCTTGGTGAAGCCGGTCGTGCTCCAGGTCTTGTACCTAGGCGTCGGCGGAGAGTGGTGGTGTGGTGGAGTGGTCAGGCTGTGAGCGGAGTCAGGTTGGGGGGCGCAGCCACATGGTGGCGACGACGTCCGCAGGCGACTCCGCGGTGAAGGCGCTGGCGGAAGGGGTGGTAAAGCTCGCGATCGTGGCGACAATACCGATGGTCGCGAGGAGTGCGGCGACTCTTGTCACGGCGGTGGTCTTGGCGGGCGCGATCATGCCTGAAGGGTGCTGCGGGGTGCGGGGTGCGGGGTGCGGGGTCACGATGACGTGCACTGGGGTGACCGGATGACCGTCGGCGAAGGCGCTCTAATCGCGTCTTTTCTTTTATTCGCTTGTCATTTCCTCCTCTGTCGCGTCGTTCCCTTCTGCCTCGTCCTGTGACGCCGCCGCCTGCCGTTCCCTTGCTCTCGCGGCTTCTTTCGCCTTTCGGCGCAACTCCGTCCTCCTCGCGGCGTATCCTGGCCCCTGGTTGACCAAGCTCTTCTACAACGGTTTCACCTTTCTGCACTCCGTTTGAATGGCTCTCCTACGTTGTTTGAGAGAGAATTTTTTACATTACTGGCGACCTCCTCCTCAGAGATGATTAGAGATATCCCAGTCCAGACCCTTGCGACCAGTGCGCCGTGACGCTCGTGCCACCCAGAGAGAGGTGGCCAGGATCTCAACGTACACGAGCCAATTAACAGTTTATCATGGAGAATGGAGTTTATCACGACCGACCTGCAGCCGCACGAGCCAGCCACACCGGGTCTCAGCTTCTCTCGTTGGCCAATACACGCCTTTCGGGGGGCATTGGCTACATTTGAGGAGAACCTAACGTTACTGCTCGACTTTCGTGACTGCGAGCTGCATGTGCATCGTACTTGCGCCTGAAGCGCATGTAGTCCGCCGCCGTGAGCAATGGCGTCGGGCGCAATGCACTGTAGTCGCCTTGCTCGACGCAGCGCTCGTACAGCCGGCGACGGACCGTGACTTCGCGGCCCTTGCGGAACCACGCGCCCGCGTCGTCGATATTGTGGAACACGTGCGCGTGGTCCTCAATCTTGTGCACGGCACGGAAGTCGAGCACAGCGTCCTTGGCGCCCCACAAGGAGGGCTTGGAGGCGTTGGACTCGTTGGTGCCCTCCACCCAGCCGTAGTCGTCCATGATCACGAAGCCTCCTACCTCAACCAGGTCGTACAAGTTATACAATATGTCCATCGTCGCATCGTACATGTCGCCGTCCAGTCGCAGCAGTGCAAGCCGCTCGCCACGGCCCTTGAGCTGGTTACGCAGCTTGGGCAAAGAATTGACAAAGAAGCCCGGCACCAAGCGAACGCCATTCATTGGGACCCCGTGCCGGCCGAAATTGCGCGTCACGATATATTCGCTCTTGGCGAGCGAATCGTTGACCCACTTAGCCGTGTACACCGTCTCGTCGGGCCGCAGGCTGCCTGAGCGCGGCAGCGGCAGCCCCTGGAACGAGTCGCACAGGTACACACGCCGCTTCATTTGGTAGACCTCAATCGCCGCTTTTGCGAAGATGGACATTCCACCGCGCCACACGCCGCACTCGACGTAGCTCCCCGAGACGTTGGCGGCGCGCGCGTCGAGCAGCAGATTGATAATGTTCTTCAGACGCTTGTGGCCGACCATCGTCGTGCCCACCTTGGGCCAATTGGCCTCACCGACTGGACCGCCCGTACTGTACCGCTCCACGCACTTCAGGTACTTTGCCATTGTTTGCGCGGCGTCACACATGAGCGACGAGCTCGTCAGAACGCTGGCCAGCATCCGGAGGTAGGCGGCGTGGACGTCAACCCGCCCCACTGGACGCCCCTCCGCGTCGTGTCCAATGCCGGCCTCCGCCTGCATCCTTTCGAGGTCACGAACCCAGTCCAGCGGCGGTGCAAGGAGCGGTCGCAGCATATCTGAATGGAGGCGAGGCTGCACTCACTAGCTGGCAGGCTGCAGACGAACGCGCGCAGCCCTGCTCTCTCGAACTTGCCGAAAGAGTCTCTACAAGTTCGCCACTTTCAACATTTTGGAGGCGCCGCGCAGCGGCGCCCCTCCAGATTTTAGGCGGCGCGGAGCGCCGCCTTTCAGATTTTAGGCGGCGCGGAGCGCCGCCTCTTAGATTTTAGGCGGCGCGCGCAGCGCCGCCACTAGATTTTGGATGTGCGCGCGCGCCACAGCGCGCGCGTGCTCAGGACAGCACGCGCCGCGCAGCGAGTGTGCTTAAAGCGTGCGCGCGCATGCTCAGCACGCTCAGTAGTGCTTGAAATTTACCGGTATTCACGTGGTAATTACCACTATTTAGATTGACTTGGAGAAGCTACCAACGATGCGACGGACTGCACCAACGGATATACCCAAGACATACCCTCAGTTGCGAAACAACCGTCAATGAGGAGGAGGGGAGGAGGAGGAGGAGGAGGAGGAGGAGGAGGAGGAGGAGGAGGAGAGGAGGAGGAGGAGAGGAGGAGGAGGATCACATCCCACGACATTTCCAAATCTTACATTCACGTGGTGAGAGGACATCTTTAAGCTCTTCCCACTCAGCTGACGTGAGTGGAGTGTAGGGCTCGAATCCGTCAGGCTCCTGGGAAGTCGGCATCACAGGGAAGGGAACTGGTGTGAAAGGAAGAGGTGTGCTAATGCTAGTAGCACGTGTGCAATAGGAAAGGTGGAGGTGGCGGCACTGGCAGCGGTGGTGGCAAGAGTGGAAGAGAGGGCTCGGCTAGCAGCCAATAAAGGAGTGGCAGGACTTTTCACAGCAGCAGCCACTGCACGCCAAGGCAATGCAGCAATGGGCATGGAGGGGGGCCCAGCGGCAGAGGGCACAGCTGTGGGCACAGCAGAGGAGGCGGGGGAGGCGGAGGAGGCGGGGGAGGAGGAGGAGGCGGAGGCGGAGGCGGAGGAGGTGGAGGAGGTGGCGGTGGCGGAGGGAGCCCGAGCGCGGAGGGAGCCCGAGCGCGGAGGGAGCCCGAGCGCGGAGGGAGCCCGAGCGCGGAGCCGGAGCGCGGAGCCGAGCGCGAGGCGGAGCGATACGACGGGCGAGCGTTGGCAGAGAGAAAGCTACGCGAGGGCAGGGAACCGTGGTGGGACTCTATTGTTGACTATGGCCGCAGGATTGCATTTAAGCTCGGGTTAGTTGAGGTCGGTGGGACACAAGGGTTTGGGGTAAGTAAGTAACACCACGGCCGTCAGGCTGCGAAGCGCGAATCGGTCTCGTCGAGATCAGGTCGAGCTACATGGACATGGACATGGGGGGTAAGTAAGTAACATCAGAGTCTGTTCCGAGCTTGTGTGCCACCGACCTTGCCTGACCTGAGAGAGACCCAAACGCAGTGCGGAGGCCATCGATGGGCACGGATCAAGCATCTTGGCGAACGACCTCGTGCCTAAGAACCGCAACATCTGCGTGCCTAAGAACCAGGCGACGGGGGGGTTCCGCGGCATGGCTTACGTGACGTTCCGCACGCCCTGACTCACTCTCACAATTTTTGCAATGTCGTCATCACGAAAGGATGCGACCGGCAGTTGCGCGGACCGGCACAGCTGCGTGTGCACGCAAATCTGACGGGTGCCCCGCCCGCTCGGCTCATGGCGAGCACGCCAGGCGTGCCGCCGCAGGATGGCGCGATGCGCATGCAAGTGGAGCTGTCACGTAGCAATGGGACGAGGACAGACAGGGTCCCCACCTGCACGAGCAGGATTTTGGAAGGACGATCAGGGGGACAGGTGGGGCTCTCCTGCTCCTGACAAGGGACACGACAGGCTCGCAGCGCGGCAGAGAGAGCGCAAGCTAGCATTGAATTTTCTTCACCCCCCGGTGGGGTGAGCAGAGGATATCATCCCGCCCTCGATGCCGCGCCGCAGCCGCTCTCGTTCTCCTCGCGACCGCCGCGACCGCCGCTCCGACAAGCGGTCTCGACGCGACCGCGACCGCGACCGCCGCTCGCGCTCGCGCGACCGCCGCGACCGCCGCCGCTCGCCCTCGCGCTCGTCGTCGCGCGGCCGCTCGCGCTCCGTCTCGCCGCCGCGCAGCCGCTTCAAGTCGCCGACGGCGGAGGAGCGCGCGGCTGGGATGGCGGCGATGATGGAGCTCGCAAAGTCCAAGGGCATCGGCCTCGCCGTCGGCCACGCCGCCGGGCTCGTCGACCCGAGCCTCGCTGCGGCCGCCGTCGCGGACGCGCCAACCGCAAAGCACGGCTGCTGGGGGCACAGCACCTCTTCGTCGGGGCAGCCTCCGCCGACGGCTCGCCTCGTCATCCCGGACAACGAGCCGCCGCCGCCACCCGGCAAGATCATGGGCACGGTCAAGACCTTCAACATGGAGAAGGGCTTTGGCTTCATCCTGCCCGACGGCGGCGGCGAGGACGTCTTTGTTCACTCTCGCGAAGTGACCGACGGGAACGCGCTGGCGCGCAACGCGCGCGTCTGCTTCCGAGCCGAGTTCGACCCCCTCAAGCAAAAGACAAAGGCGGCGGACGTCACCGGCGGGTGCCTCGCGGACACTTCCGAGACACTTCCGAGACTCTTTCCGCCGGTCCGAGACACTTCCGAGACACGGGCGGGCGCCTGCTCCTCCTTAG